CAGAGACACAGAGACACAGAGACACGGAGACACAGAGACACAGAGACAGACAGAGAGAGTGAGAGAGAGAGAGATGTTTGGCCGTGCTTCCCGGTGCATCGGTGCTCATGGTGCCCTACACCCCAAAACCGGCCAGGGGCAGCGTTCCGTCCCCGGCCTTTATGGGCCGGCCAAGAGTTGCTTCTTCTATTCTATCGGCCCCAGGCTGAACCTAGGCCCTAAACTGTAGACTCCGCCTCCGAAACCGCAACGACCGCTGAGCCTGAACCCCGAGCGGTCAATCTTCCCGCGACCGTAGCAGCTGGCAGAGGTTTCAAGCCTCGCAGAAGGAAAACCTTAAAGAGATCCTAACCACCCTGAGCCCAACCGCTTTTTTGTTCGCTGCCTTTGCAAAAACAGAGTTCTGCAAGAGTTCCTGGGGACCTTGTGGCTGATCGTTCAAAACCAATATCCAGAAGGTTTGAAAAACGGAGTTTGGGGTTTAGGGTTTAGGGCCCTCAATCCTAAAACCGAAACCATCCGAAACCCTAGATTCGAATCGCAAATCCCTGAATCCAGACCCAAGCCCCAATCCCGCCCGTAAGCCCTGTTTCCCCAATTCTAAATCCTTGACCCCGCACTCCCCTACATAATCCCTGAAGCTAGGAGGAGACGCTCCTCCGGTGGGCACATCACGTCACGAGCACACAGAGTCCATGTCGGAAGAGACAGTGTCCTGCCTCGACTTGCCTTCAGGGCGGCGGAGTGTAGGATTTGGGGCTGTCAACCCTGAACGTCTCGAGCTTGACCAACGTTCAGTGTAAAAGATGACCCATTGCTTCGGGCTTTCCGGGCTGCCCTGAAGTGCAGCTGGGATGTCCTGTCAAGTCGTGCATGCGTGAAAGTCCGAATGTCCATGATGTAAGACCTGAAATGTGGAGTCACGGTGCTGCCTTCCATGAACATGCAGATCCCACAACCAAATCCCAAAACCCAAGCAGAATGCTAAAGCGTCCAAGCACAATGTCTATAGTGACCTATGATACAGGGCGTCTGGAGTTTGGGAAGTTGAAGTTTTCGTGTATAGGGTTTCGGAATTAAGGCGTTCAGAGAGTTTGGGAATGTAGCGTTCAGGACGTGGAGCTTGGCATAAAGAAGGAGTTTAGGATTGATTGTGACAGACTTCGAGTTTTAGGAGAGTGTTTGGCTCTTCGCACATGACCTGAGCACTTATTGGACATGTCATTAGTTTGTGATATAGAAGACTGGGTGGAGGTTCCTTGAACCGTTGCGCTTGGGCTCTGCAAATTTGATCATGCGTACCTGACCGGTATTTCTTTTGCTGTCGGCCATGCGAGTCGCGGCACATGTTCTAGCAACAACCCTCGGAACTACAATCTAGGGGCCTTAATAATTAGAAAGGGGTTTTGGTGTATATAATGCCGTAATTCTTATAAGCAACCTCCCAGAATAGCATATTGGTAATTATTTAGGCCCCTGTATTGCCCCAAGTTCTGAAGGCTAGCCAACTCGTCTTCGCCCAGCCTCAGCTGAGGTTGTGAAAAACGGCCGCGTGGTTCGGGCCGCATTAGTGATTGGGACTTCTAGGCACAACAATAGGTTGGGGACAAAACATTTCGCTTTGCTTCATCTTGCCGGAAGGCCCCGAACCCCAGACTTTGACGAATCTAGCCGTACCTTATAAGCCCTACAGTGCTACAGGTTAGGATTGACAGGTGTAGGGTTGTATTTACGCATGGGTTTGGGTTTTCGGGTGCACTGGGTTCAGCGCCGTATATACCTTTCAGGAGTGTACATCTTGAGTTATTGCACGAGTGCCTCGGCAGTTACTAGACTACGGTAGTTATCTGTTGTTTCGGGACAGGGAAGGCATAAGATCTCCAACATCTAGCACAAGAGGCGTGGCTGCCGAAGAAAGTTTTCTCTGTGTGACCAGCTTTCACTTCGTGCATCTCTCTCTCTCTCTCTCTGTCTCTCGTTTCCTTACACCTAAAACCCCTGAAGCCCCTCTCCGAAGTCTCCGAAAACCTCAGCATCCTAAGCCCACCAGAAACCAAATTGATCTCTCTCTCTCTCTCTCTCCCTTTCTTGCTATCTCTCGCCTTCTCCCTCTCTCTTTCTTTCTCTGTCTTTCCCTCTCGTTTTTTTGCGATTGCTTGGAGGCTGTCCACCGCACGCGCCGCTGCCAGAATGGGAAGTGTCAGACGAAGCAGTGCCGCAGACAGAGGTTTGTCGTCCTTACGGAGCCCTGCGTAGCAGCGCGGCCTTAGAGGCTTCCACCCCTTGCTGTGGACTATATCACCGAGACCAATGCTGGATAAGAGCCGACTCAGTACTCGATCAGTGTAATCCCTAAGCGTTCAAGTGGCAAAGAATCATAGGCTCTCCGAAATAGTAACTTACATAACTACTGAGGTACCTGATTATTGGATCAATTGGACCACTTTGGTAATCTACATCCCCGGCGCTGTACGGTAACCTACTTGCAGACCAAGCTTTTTGGGAGAGAAGCTTCTGCACAGATTGCTGGCACCTGGGTATTCAACCTGAGTTCCTCTCAATTCCCTCGCCAATCCCCTGGGGAAAAAAAGTCTTGCTACCGGCGACCCCAGTCTTGAGTTTGAGAAGCGCAGCTCAACTCTTTCTCTGTTTGGGGTGACTCCTGTGGTAAAGGAAACGTCCGGCCCTTCCGCCTCACTCCACCAGCCCTCTGAAAGAAGCAATGCTCAGATAATCCAGACTTTAAACCCTGAACCGTAACCCCACAGCTTCCACCGGTCAAGGGCTTAAGGCAACATTCACCCTCAGGACGTTGGAAGAAGGAGATGTCGGATCCAAGTCAGGACCTGATGCCACACGGCTAAGCAGCAGGGCACACAGGGAACGGGACCGGATTTGTTCTTGATCTGTCTCCTCACTGACAAGGACCCGCCGTCGTCGTCGCAGTCGACATCGCTCGAGTCCTCGTAGTAGTCGTTATCCTCGTCGTCGAACTCGAAGACTAGAGACACCAACATGATGGGCCCCTCGGAAGACGACAGCGATGATTTCGGGTGCGGCAGATTTGTTTAATGCGCTGTGGCTCAGCAAACATGAGCGAAACCCATCGAGTGCAGCTTCCCATCTTCCACCTACGGCTCAGACTATCTCAAACCCCACATCCATGTCTCTCTTGCCTGTAATGCCGCAGCGAGAGCATGTGTGCAAGAAGCTCTTCATTAATCCCTGAACTACGAAACTATTCCTGTCCAACGATTGAGGCCTTGGGATGCAGCATTGGAGATCCGCAGTATGAGTTGTAAGTAGGCTGGTCCAAGGCATGCACTCGCAGCCTACGTGCGAATATTGACCAAAGCTACATTAAGCTCAAAACTTATTTATTGGTCTGGGCCGGTGCCATGAACCTCCATCAATTGACGGCTCAGAGCCCGAACCCCCCACCCGTAAAACCGTACAACCTGCCTCGGAGAAGGAACCTAGCAAGATCCGCGGCGCCAGCTTGGAATGGTGAGCAGCAAAACGTGGGTTAGTTGCTGGCTGAGGGGCCGGTGACATGTAGAAACACACATCTGTACGTGCATATCTCATTTACTGTGTTGTTTGAAAACTCCCATGAATCGATGCTTTATTCTGTGCCAAGGGTTTCGGGTACGGGGGTTTGGGCTCGAGGCTTTCCGTGCAGGTGCTTGCAGCCTCCTAGGTCCTAGGGTTGGTGAACCCACACCTCGAAGTACAGACTGCACAGGGTTCTATGAAAAGCGCAGATACTTGAACAAGCTACATCTTCGTTTTGATTGGTTAATTAGTTATCATTTGAATAGAATAATTCAATTCTGAGTGTAAATATAAATACTTGATGCAAATGATAATTGATTACGCCATATATGGCGTCAGACAAGGAAGGTTCGAGACTCCGGCCCCAAAGCCATTCGAACGCACGACATGAGCGCTGCCTGTACAAACGGGTAGGAATCAGCCTCGTATTGGATTGGGGTTTAGGATTTTAAGGTTTATAATAGGGTTTAAGGTTTATTGTAGGGTCTTTAGGGTTTAGGGTATGAGGTGTTCTGAAAGACTTTCTGTACAAAGCCGATGTGGCCAGGCATCGCAGCTAACATTCTGGACTGAGTTGATTCCACCCTAGGACCTTAGGAGTTCGCAACAATTAGTAGGAGCGGTGCTCCTTCGTAACCCTCATTAGTATCACCTATATATATATATATATATAGAGAGAGAGAGAGATGTATATATCTCTCTCCCTGTTTCTTATATTTCAACACATCCTAAACCTTACACCCTGAAAACCCTACCGCCACCGTTGAAGTGATACCCATGTCTCCGCATTTCTACACAAAGTTCCCTCACCTTTGAACCCGGAGAGCTAACTTAGGGCTTACGGGCCTTCATAGTTAGAGTAGGGTGCTTGATATGGTTTAGGGTTTAGGGTTTCAGACGGCGATATCTGGAATGGGGTGGTCTTGAAGGCATTGTTTCCATTATGACTGCTGAAAATTGTTCACTGTCGTAGTGTCCCTCTACTCGCTTTTGCCATTATCACAGACCTGTTGCGAGCCTGTCTGCACTCGAGGTTCTACCAATAGTGTACAGGGACTATTTTGGGATTGTTGTAGTCGCAAGATGCCAGTGCCGTCAAACCGCCTAGAACCTTTGAATCCAGCACCCAAGGCTCTTGACACGGTTTGTCCAGACCATCACAACGAAGGAGATACGGGTAAAAGTCAGTAGTCTTAGCTGCTTCAGTATTCCCAACCAGGTCGGTGCGATCAGACCCAGATCACGTCTTAAGACTTCGAGCATATTTGACCCATCACAACCAGAGCTGTGTCTCTGATAACTCAAAAACAACAGCTTCTTCAGAGCTGGCGCTTCCTGGCCAAGTCCTGTCGACCCAGCAAAGACCGACTCCGTCCTCCTCCAGGAGGAGTTCTGACATGCGAGAAACGGCTTTGGGGTTTAGGGGTTAAGCTTTAGTAGGCTTTAGGGTTAGAGTTTAGGCATTGAGGTGCTGGGAACTTTTTTTGTCTGAGGGCGTTTTGTGATTCAGGACGTGGGCTTTAGGGTTTCATCAGGTGGACGGGTTTCGGGTGTGGGGATTTATGCTTTGGTGTTCAGGGCTTCGGGTGCAAAGGAACAGAGTTTTAGGCTTCCAGGCCGCCGGGGAACCATGTCAGGAATGGGAAGGATGGTACCTGGATGGTGCAGAGAGGGGTGAAAGCAAGTGCAGCAAGCCTGCAGAAGAAAGAAGAGGGTGAAGCCAGCACAAAATTCCCCATGCCCCGAACCCTGAGCCCCATGTAAGGCCCCGTGGACCCCAGAGAAAGGAGGAGCCTAAATGTGAGTCTCAGAATATTAGGGACGTGATTTTGGACTCCCTATAGGATGGATAGAGGCTAGCCTTCTCGACAAGCCTTGCAGATCCTTGAGCCTTCACAGAGTGCCTGGAAGCTCGAAGCTCCTGTCACTCAACCCTAAAGCCTAAAACCTATATCTGGCAAGTCTAGAATCATAAGCCCCAAACCCTAAAGCCCGAAACCTGCTCTGCCTGGGGCCGCCTTAAACCCAAACAGCCCCTCCGCCCCCACCCGCCCCCAAAGCCCTGTGTAAGGCTTAAGCCCCACCACTCTGCTTGGCAGATTTGGTTCCTGCCCCGCCACCTGGCGTTGGCGAGGCAGAGAATGTTTAAGGTGAGGGTTGGGACCCCCTCCTATGGAATCCTTGCAAACATATTGGACCTTGCCACAAGGAGCCCTCTGTCAGGGGCACCAGTTGTCTTTAAAATTCGCGTTTGAGGGGTTCGGGCTAACACTATTCCGAGTGGCCTTCTTGTGGTTTTAGAAGTGGAGCTCTCAAGATGTTTTGGGTCCATGGGATACGGCCCGGAGATCATGGGTTCCACTCAACGGGTGGCCATCCTCTCGGTTTAGGGTTTAGAGGCTTGAGGGGTTTTGGAAGTTTAGGGTATGGGCATTCAGAGGATTGAGGGTAGTTTGGGGTGTTTGGTCGCCACACTTCCATCCTCCTCCCCCGTGCCCTCCCTCTTGTAATATGGCAGCCGACAGAAGCAGTTCTCTTCAAGACTGGTATGGCATTAAGGTCCCCTGTTATATTATTTCTGGCTGTTTGCTGGGAGATATGACTCAAGGCCGAGACCATAGCCACTACTCATTTAGGACCTTGGAGAGCACCCCACAAGAGAGCGTAAGATCGTCCCGGTGCAGGACGAAGATCAGGCACGCGTGCGCCTTTCGATGCAGACCACTTTGACAACTGGCTGTTGACGTGCTTTAACCCTGCTTTCTCCATAAGGTCCAGCAGATTCAGAGCAAAACGTTATGGGGGGAGCGAAGTTTACGCAATGGAGCCTTAAGACTCTTGAACCCAGCGCCTCAAGCCTTGATCGCAAGCGCCCTTGAGCTCTGACCAGATCACATATGTAAAGCTTATGCAATGGCCTCCTGTTGCACGTATCAGAAGCTTCGCAACTTCGATGGCCCGAGAGATCCAAGCTAGTCTCACACTCCTATCCATTCCGCAGCTTGCTTAATCTTGCAAACATGGCGGCATACTCTTCTCTTACAGCAACTTTGGAGAGTCCGATTCGTGCCCGGACTGTGAAAGCATGTTTTTTGTTTAGTGTGTTTTAATCTTTGCTCTCTGGAAACCTGCTACGGTGATCCTGAACCTGAGACTCTGACATCCCAGACATAAAAGCATGTTGGCGAGGTCAATCTTGGGGATGGGTGCCACCGATGGCAGCCCCGGTACTTTCGGAGCACAGCGCCAGCCAACCACTCGCTTGGCCCTCAAACGGTCACAAGATTCGTCCACCACCGGGCCTAGAAGTTCCAGAGGTGGCTGAGATCAATACTGCCAACCTACGATTTGGCATCGGCAGTTTCGGACACCCGCA